TTTCCAAAATGAGTGCTGTATCTCCAGCACCAGGCTGTGAGCTGGAATTTACCATGAGGGTGTCCTTTCTTTCCTGTGTTGGCACCAGAGTGGTTATGCTTTGATGAACAGATGAGAGAACTGGGTTGCTAATGGTTCTTGTGTTTTGTGTTAGGTGCTAGCAGTCTTGGTGAGCAGGTGAGAGAGATGCCTTCTGCCTGCTCATATAGAACAGTGTGACTTTCATGCATGCATGCTTAGTGCCAGTTGTCAGGGTGGCCTAGAGAAAGGTCTGGTAGATAAAAATAGTACCTGGAGAAAAGATCGCCCCTGACATGAAGATGCCTGCATGTGAGTCTGGCAGGTTGTAGATGTGGGGCCTCTGTTTCCTTCTGAACATCCTAGCAGCATTTCCAACACCTCAGTTGTTTCCCCTACGCACCCCCGCCCTCAAACACACCCCACACTCACAGCACATTGTTCAGTGAAGTGTCTGTGGAATTAGCATATTTCCTGGAAGGACTATATCTGATTTAATGACCAAATCATTTTAAGGCAGCACAACAGAATTTTACAGGAATGAAATCTCTCCCTTCACACCGATCATGCATGTTTTACTCGAGTATTGAGTCATTAGCATGTTTATAATGGTTCTAATTTAGCACAACATTTTCTGAATTTTATCCTTGAGTCATTTACAAATTGTTCTTATTGAGTAAACAAAGGGAACAGATTGCATTTTATACTTAGCAATTTATCTGAAAGAAGAGGGGAGGGTTAATTGTTTTAAAGTTTTGGTCTGTTTGGGGAAGTGAGCCTGCTTTCTCATTGCTAGGCATAAATGCCTTACTTCTCATCTTTTTGGATAGAGGGTGTGCTGTGGAGGAGGAAAATGAAGAATTAGGAGTAGGACAAGATTGGCCACTCCCACAGGGGAGTGTGGAGCACAAGGGGGCTGGCACGAGATTATCCAAAACAGTTGGTGCATTCCTTAATGATCAAGTGCTTGAGAAGCCCAGTTCTTCCTGGCAGAGCATCTGTGTTGATATTTAGACCGCTGCCCTGCTGTATGGGAAAGGCATGCTTTCTCTTGCTACTTGCCTAAAAATAGGATGGGGTATAGCATTGTATGAGATATTTTAAGATAGCAGAAACATTTAAGAGGTTAAAGGTTTGGCTCTTGGATCAGAAAAGCTCAGTGATACAGTGCGCACTGTTCTTTCCACACTGGATTTTCTGTGGAGTTGGTTGGAGTTCTGCTCACTGGGCTAGGGAAGTTATTTCTAGGTTTGTTTGGTTCAGTCTGAAAAACATACTCTGTGGGCTTTTCTGTCAGCTCCCGGCATGAAGAGCTTGCTTGAAAACATACTCTATTTATACCCCTTGTTCTTATTTGGAAAGTCAGTTGTTTCATTGTGTGTGTGTGTGTGTGTGTGTGTGTGTGTGTGTGTGTGTGTGTAGGGACAGTCATCATAGAGCATTGCTTTGTATGTTATAGTGATTTCAAAATAAAACTGGCACATTTTAGTGTCTAATTATTTTTAGTGAGCTTGGAGGGTTTTAATTAAAATTTAAGAGTGCTCTTCAAACTCTCCAAGCTCCAATTTTATCCCACTGTATTGTGGCGCTCTTGCCACTGTGAAAAAAAGTACAGTAACTGATAACAGCATCTGTAGGTCCCTGACGAAAATGCAAGCATTTCGGCTGGAAACTAAAGTCATGAGCTCTTCAGATCAATTACCAGTGGTTGTGAATGCAGAGAAAGAGATTGTATCTGAAACTTCTGATTCCATGGTAAAATAAAAGGATGCCTTTACTATTGTCTTAAGCATCACTAGAGTAAGAAGAAATGTGTACATAGGGACTGAAGCATTTAATTCTACACTAAAATATTTGAAAGATATTTTTGTGTCATGTTTGTGATATTTTTGCCCTCTGACTTCCAATATGACACAGAAATGAAAGGAATAATAAATGTTTACTCACAGATAAACTCTTTCAAAGTTTTCCAAAGCATTTCCATTGTTAGAACTCCTGAAGTCATAATATATATATATATACATATATATATATATTAAAATATCAGGCTACAGATTAGGAAATAATCCCACTTTGAGCATTTATTTCTTATTCCATTAAACTTGTTATGAGCCAGTGCATTAGCACACCATGGCAAATCAAATCATATTCTTTACTTAGCCTAAAGTCTCAGTTTCTAAGAAGCAGAACCATGTTTGGCAATCTGTGTATGGAACATTGTAAATAAAATCAGTCTTGCAACATATCTTTTTTTTTGATAGAAAAAGTTTAAAGTAAGTTTTCTGAAAGATAAATTGTTAAATTTGAAACAATAAACAAGCAAGCAAAAACCCCATCCTCACCCCTCAAACCACAGGCTACCCAAAACTATATACCTGAGTACTAATCTAGAGGTGTGGAATCTTTATGCCTTTGCTTCAGATAGAGACTAGTTAGAATCAAATCTCCACCATCCATAAAACAATAGGCAAAATAACCCGAGGCCCTGTGTTTTATTGAGTAGGTGTTGGTTGATGGAATTAAACTCTCTCATGGTAGGAGGGGTGAACTCTGACCTCAGATGACATGGCACACAAATTTGGGGCACTGTAAGTTACGCCCATCTTTAGTGTGTCTATATAGTAGGGTACTACAGTGTGTACTGTTACAATGTGTACTGTTACAGTGTGTACTGTTACAGTGTGTCCTGTGGTGTTGTGACCCTTTCTCGTCATCTTGAAGACTTATTTGGTTTTGTAGTTCAGATAGTTTAGTCACAGAAGTTTGAACCATAAACTTAGATATTAAAATTTATTGTCATTGTCTCTTTGAGTGGAAAGTTATTTTCCAATTAATAAAATAAAACACATTTGTTCTGTGACAGAAATGTAAACCATTCAGGCGAAATTTGCTTTTTTTTAAAAATCCCATTAGAATCACTGTGACTATGGTATGAAGACACTGCTTTGTTCTTTTTGTGTATGTAAGGACTCATTTACATAGTGTTCCCTTTGTAGACATACAAAGTCTGTTTTCTTTTTTCCTTCACCCCTTTCTCCTGAAGCAGGAGCCGGTGTAGCTGGATTTCAGCATTAACAAGAAAGGATGTTGTAGTAGAATGTCAAATGCTTTGGAGCCTGAGAATGCGTAGCTCCTGTGGAAACTGATTGAGTTTATGCTGCAGCATATATCCTTGTTGTCCAGAGAGCTATGCTTGTCTCTCATGGAGCGCCAGCATTCTTTCCTTGGACCTCTGGGGTATTTCAAATCTATTTATAGAAAGTAGAGACATGCTTTACATTTAGTGTGTATGTGTTCACTTGACCTGCCTTTGTAGCCATCCTTGATGTATTGGGGTTTTGTCTGATGGGTATATCATCTCAACTCTAACTTAACCAAACGTTTCGGACTCCTGCATCTGTGCTGGTGGGTATCAGTACAGTGCGATGATAGAACATACAAGAATGGGTGAAAATATAGCGAGCCTAGTAAAGTATAAAATTTAAGACCTTTTATTGATCTCTCTCATCTGCTATCTAATGTTATCATCATTGTGCTCTGAAATCCCAAACTGATTGGAGAAACAAAAATGTCTGGCAGGCATTCCTTTGAAGATTTGAAGCCTTGTTAATCCTATAAACTCAGTTTTAATACTGGAAAAAATATAGGTGTTGAACAGATTACATACCCCATTTATGACTGTGAAATGGAGAGAAGTCAGGGAAGAGACGGACGGCATTTACTTAATGGAATGTCTATGTAGAAGGAACGCGGGGTTCTGCGACAATATCAGTCCTTTAATGATACTAGGATCTGGATTCCATCCAATTTCTAATTGATTGATCTTGTCACAAACAAATGTTAATTGTTTTCAGCAAGACCTTCTAATCATGTGAAGGTCTTCTCATCTCTTAAGCAAGGATCCCTGCTTTTCTCAAAGCTTATCTAGCCTCTAAAGCCCTTTAGAGCCATCATGACCTAACTGTCAATCTGAAAAATTCAAGGCCGCTTTGGAAGCTAGAGGGAAAAAAAAAAAACAAAAGAGAAAATACTCAAGAGATAGGTGCTGATATGGGGGAGAAAAAGTATTTGGAACTGGAGAAACCATTTTAAATATAATTTAAAAGGAAAATTATCAGAACTTTGACACTTGGAATGCTAAAGTTTAATGGGAGTTTTCAAACCTGCCTGCATTCCCTGGAAACATGGGCTGTTTTGTTAAGAGTCGAATCTGGACAAGTACATGTAGACAGCTGTAAGCAGGAGGCCTGCTTGTAAACCCATCTGAATCCAGAGAAGAAAATAGTGCATGTAGGAAAAGGAGATCATTATTAGAGCATTCTCATGTTTATATTTCTGTAATCTTATGAGTCTTTATGAAAACAGATGTAATTGCTCCCTGTAGTCTAGAACAGTATTCTAACACACCCTAGAGCAGATGCTATTTAAACAGGTGTTTTCTTTAATGAACACATGTGTCATTTCTATATAAAAGTTTTAGTAGTTTTCACTATGAGGGTACAAAAAGCATCTTGATTTTATTTACTTGTCTATTTTTTAGTTTTGCAGAAGTTGGATTTCTTTTTTTAAGGACTAAGTGGTTACAGGTTAATTGGCTTCTTCTTCCTTAACAATTTACCGTTGTCCCTTGTACAACATATAAATTTTGCTTAGACTTTTAAAATATAACCTGAGCTGAAAGAAATATCATATAAATTTAAACCTGTACGGGAGAGCCTTTGTTCTGTCTTATCAGTCTGATAAATGATAAACATTGATTAAATCTCTCTAGATTTATGCAGATAAGCATGGGTTACGAGCACTATCACCCTGGGGCAATAGTTTCCCTCAGTCATGGTGTTTTATGATTGGAGCAATGGTAGAATTAAATATGTAGTAACAGAAACAGCTCTTGTTTGCTTCCCACTGAGCCAGTTGCTCCACTGTCTAGCTCTCTGGGTCTGTAGTATACATCTTTAATACCTACCTTTGTATTTTAATAGATTCCTCCTGCATGGAAAAACTACTTTCAAAAGATTGGAAGGAAAAAATGGAAAGACTAAATACGAGTGACCTTCTTGGAGAAATCAAAGGTAAAATATAAAAATTATCAAATGTGCAGATATTACTTCACGTACCCCATGCAGCTGCCGGCCTTTGTGCCAGGACCTCTGACTTCTAAACTAGTTCATCCGTGGAAGAGTAGGTGTGACACCCTCCTGGATGTCTGTGCTCTACGGTGTGCACTATGGACCTTTGCTCTCCCTGACATCACTGTACAGACTGCCTTGTGAATGGACTTGACAGACACGATAGAGGGAAAGTCTCATCAGAGAATGCCGAGTGCCTTAGAGATACCTGGCTTTTCCCTTAGACTCGTAATAGCTTAATTTACCGATTAAAGTTATATGTGTGAATTTCTCTTGCTGGAAAGAGGCTATCTATACAATCCAAACAAAAGCAGATGGAATATACCCATCATTGCATTTTATGACTGATTTCTAAGACCTATTTATCTTGGTTCTTATCCAGCCTATCATTATGCCTGCGTAGTTTTGGCCAAAGCACTGATGTTCGCTATGTTTTGTACCCCGTCTCTGCGGAGGTGGTAAGAGCACCTACCTATAAGCTCCTTGGAAGAGCTGGCACAAGTGAAGGTCTCACCACGGCAGCACTTGGCACTCGGCAGAGCACTGGGAGCACAGTATGGTGATGGTCACTGTTGATATGCCCATAGATTGGGGATTGAGTCATAGCAAAGAGAGTTCTGGAATCGAGCACTTCCTGCGCTTTGACTCCAAGAATCTTTGTCTTTTAATTTATTTATTGTTGTGGTTCTGGGAACTGAACTAGACGGGAAAGAGGCAAGGTGCTAGGAAGTCCTACAGCTTCACCCCTGCCTGTATGTAATCCTTTTGAAATATTAGGAGACGAAGGAGTCCCGTATATTTCAGCATTGCATCACCTGTGTGTGAAGAAATCTGTGCTTCTGGCCTAACCCAGCTCTTCTTATGGACTCACGGAGAAGTGGTGTCACATTCTTACACTTCCGTGTCGTGAGAGGAAGCCAGGCCACCTAGTAATGCTGCCAGTCATCTCACAGGCTTCCACACTCAGCTTGCAGGAACATTTCAGAGACTCAGTCGCATTAGTTCTCTGGATTTAGCAGACAAATTTGGGTTGTTTAGCTCTGTTAAGACAACCATTTGGTAGTAGATATCTCACGAAAATGTTATTTTTAATTTATCACAGAAAGCTGTCCCTTTGAACTCCAATGCAGAGAACAGTTGTCCTTTCACGATGAGTAATTAAGAACTCATTCCATTAACTAACAGAGTGTCGGAATCAAGTGAAAACGGAGTATTATTTTGAATTTTACTGCTTCTGCGTTGTACTCATAAAGGCCATTTGCTATTTTGGAAAAAAAAAAGGAATCTCAACATAACTGATGGGTAGAAAGAAAAGTCATTAGTGACATATTCTCCATCCAGCTGCAATAACACGGGCTGTGCGACTTCACACGTCATCTTGTGTTTTCTTCTCTTTCCAGAGTCATTGGTTTTATAGCAGTGAGGACAGAAATGGCTTATGCAAAGGCAAGCGTTTGCCAACATGAGCGATGGGGGTCTTGCTTTCTCCTAGCAGCGCGGAAGCTAACATTTTATTATCTCTGTGATGAGGAACTCTGGCTTTTTATACACCTCAGGGTGTGTTTCCCCACACCTTTCACTATTATTTATATTTAATTCTAATTATGAGTTTAAAAAGCTAAAAAATAGCAAAAGTTTTGGGTGCTCAAAATTTTTAATTCTCAAAAGTGAAACACGCAGACCGAAGCCTTTCCCCTTCGTTTCTCTGGAGGTCCTGTAGGCTATTTGAGCTCAATGGTGAGCTATTTTGAATTTTATAGACATAAATGTTAATATTATTACTGAAATTTCCATTAAATGTGTTCTACAATTTTTCTTTTTATAAATTTTAGCATTTTGTCACCACAAATATTACATACATCATATATTAACTTAGACATTAAAAATAGTAGCTAAAGCAGTAATTTGAATACGTTGATTTAACTGTTGCTGGGAGAACACACTTCTTTTTTTGGTTCTGTGTGTGACTTGGCCAGCTGCAGTTTGTACATCTTTATTTGTAAAAAAACAGAAAAATATCACACAATAAAACAAAAGCATTCTTTAATTCTGTTTGTGGCACAAGCTTTGTGCTTCAGCTTTCATCTACTCCCTAAGTTTTGTATAAAGTTAGTACATCCCCTATGAGCTGCTACTTCTTAGTATAGGTTTCATCTGGATAGACAATTTTTAAAAATCATTTTTGGCAAACACGTGACACAAAATGAGGCTTCCCTGAGTCAACCAAACCTTTTCATTCAACACCAAGTTACTCATTTCCTTCTAAAGGGCTTGTCCAGAGCGTGCCGGACTGTCAGAACTTGAGAACTTTGGGGTGTATTTCATAGCATCTCTTCCTCTTTGCATGCATGGCTGTGTTGCAGTTGGTTTGTGCAGGCTTCTCCCACTCTTGAGATTAGATACGATTTTGTCATATTTTCTTTCAATTAGTTCTGTGTAGAAACATTTAACTTTTTCTTCCCTCCTGACTATATTTTGATATGTTATGTCAACTAGAGTTATAGTTGTTTTAAGCAGTTATAAAATAACATTATACACTCCGACTGAATGCTCAGACCCTTCTTGACTGGGAATAGGATTTCTCCTTATGCTTAATTATACATTTGGAACCATTTATATAAACTTTTACTAGTACTTCAATAATTGTTGATATAGTATATTTCATATTTATCATAACTTCTATCCAACACATTTTCAATCTTTACTAAAGTTTATCTTGGGTTGTTTTATATCAGTGTGTTAATTAACATTCCAAAATGTCTTAAAATTACCTTTATATAAAACTATTGGGTGAGCAGACATATTTATAAAATTGCATATTTTTATTGAGCACAATTTATTCTTTTTTAAAGATTCTTTATATTTGTGTGTGTGTGTGTGTGCGCGCGCGCGCGCGCGCGCGCGCGCGCATGCGTGTGTGGCCTGCAAGTATGTGCATGCAGTACCCACTGTTTCCAGAAGAGGGCATTAAATTCCCCTAGAACTGGAGTTACAGGCAGTTGTAAACCACCATGAAGGTACTGGGAACAGAACCCAGATGTCTACTATAATGCTCTTAACCACGGAGCTACCTCTCAATCCCCCTAATCAATTCTTATTTCCCTCAGGAAAGTTTTGGCTTTAATTCTGGACATTTCCTTTTGTTTTATCCATATTTGAGAAATTTCTGTTCCTGTAGTTAGAGATTATACTAAGTTTTACAGATTAATTTTACTGGCTCACTCCTTAATTTCCCTTTTGGGGGCTTATTAGGCCTAGTCATGTTGCAGCTGACAAGAATGACTCCTTGTCTTCTTGTCACCTTGCATCTCCTTGTCTAGATTGCTAAGAACAGTACTGAACAATAGAGTCAGTAGCAGGCATTTCGGCATAGTTTTTAATTTATAGTGTTGGTTTTAGTATTTTAAACTAATTTATTTTTGAAATACCATCTCATGTAGTTCAGGCTGGCCTTGAATTTATACTAGGCAAGGATGACCTTGCTGACCCTGCCTCTAGCTCCCAGTGCTGATATGACAGACACGCCCCACCATGCCTTCACCAGCTGCTCTTGATCACTGACAATATAGTTCTAGTTCTAGTCTCCTAGGGTCTCTGTGAGGAATTGTGCCGTGCTTTGTGGCACACATTGCTGGTTAGGGGGCTTTGACTTTATTGTGAAATAAATCCAGGTTAATTGTGACATAGTCTCCCCTGAAAGTCCTGCAGGATGTATCTCTCATAAATTGTGTTAATTTGTGACTTTTTAATTTGTACTATGTAGCATATATGCAATAGAATATATGATATACATATACACATATTATATAACATATTACTTCCAGAGTTCAAAGTAGAATTGATTTTTTCTTCCCTTTCTAGATAATATGAAATATCCAGTAGATTATATTTTTTTCTTTCTTGAAATTTGAATAATATATTCAGAAAACATCAGAGCTTCATACTTTTTTAGGTCAGTTTTGTTATAAAGTATTTTTTAAATAAAATCATATAGTTTGTGAGATTTTCAAATGTATTAACATGGATTTAATATACAGCATCTCCTGCATGTTTTCTGTTATATATCTGAATTTCACTTTTGCAAATTTGTTTTTCCTCTTGTCTTTCACTTTCCCCTGGCAGTAGGTTTCCTACCACTTCCCCTCTCCCTTAAAGAGGCAGTGTTAGGGCTTGTGTCTTGGTACCGCTCCTTTTCAGCATGCCAGTCATGTCATCTTGCTTTTATTTTTACTGTTTCTTTATTCTTTATTTTATTCATACTTTTTGTTTGTTTTTATATACTCTAACTTCCCACATTAATGCTTCTTTTAAAACTTTTAAACTTAATAATAAAGTTTGATTGTGGGTATGTTTCTGTAAATACCTTTATGTGACCATGACTGTGTGCTTTTAGAATTTTTGTCATTTTATGAATGTGTAATAATTACATGATTTGATAACTAATCTGTCTTTAAATATTTTCCATAAGTTTTAAATTCATACAGTGTAGCTGGGTGTGGTGGCACATGTCTTTAATCCCAGCACTTAGGAGGCACAGGTAGGCAGATCTCTGTGAGTTCAAGGCCAGCCTGGTCTATAGGGTGATTTCCAAGACAAACTCCAAAGCTACAGAGAAACCTTGTCTCAAACAAACAAGCAAACAAACAAGTCATACAGTGTAACATAGTTATTGAAAGGAGTGAATAGCCACCATCAATCCTGGTGGGATAATCGAGAAATCATAGAATGGATAAAAGAGTATTGAAAAATGAGCCTTCAATCCAGAGAGCTTAATATTTCTGTACAACTAAGAAACAATAATTTCTTTTAAAGATTTCACTTTAGAAATTGCTTCGGGTAATACTCTTCAAACGAAGCACCACAAGGCTGCTAAAATCAGGAGATAGTGAATAGTGGTCAAACTTGAGCTGAAATCTGAGTTAGTATGAGTTGCCAATGAGTCT